CATTTTAAGGATACCTAATATTTTATTAAGGTGGATTCTCTGTGGCTCATTTATGGGTGTGATCTCTTTCTTTATGACTTTGGTTAACTAAATGACTGGATATTTCTGTGAATCTCAAAGCAGCTTCAGATGTCACTTAAACAAATTGTTGAAAGGCCTTTCCATTCACCTTCTATAATCGAGCCACTGAGAGTATGTTTGCAGTGCTGAGATTCCTCGCTAACTTCCAACCCCACACGCTCATTTTTTCACAGTGACTCTCCATCCGTCTCTGTATCTGTGGTTATCTCTTGGTCTCAGGGCTCAGGGGTTGCAGAGGGAGGAGGGGGAGGAGGAATGAGCGGAGGGAAGGTGGAGTAAACTGTGTATCCCCTGGCAACCCATTAGTTGACAAGCCCCATCCTCCCAGCCCTTTGCCTATCTTTATTTAGGTTCATATTAATTAGTGGGACAAGTTGTGCACAGGGAGGAAAAGCCTCATCATCCCTTCTTAAAGGAATAGCTCAGATTTTTTGAAATGGAGATGTATGAAGTACTTATCCATAGTCAGTGTATTAACTATAGTAGAAGGTGGTTGGCATGCCCCCAGTTTGGAGAAGCAGACAGGAGTACCACCATGGAAGCTAGGCAATATAGGGTTGTGGATGGGGGCAGCAAAACATATTTTAGCCACCAAAAAAAATCAATATCAGTTAAAGTACACTTAAGCTTTTCCAACTGGGAACTGAAGCCATTCTATCCATCTATTCTCTCTTCAAAGCCACCAGACTCCTTTGACAAGAATAGTCATTTTATCTTGCAGAACACAGGAGTTGTTGTCTATCGCTGCTTAACTAGGGATGAGCGAGTACATCATTATCTGTATCTGTTCATCTAACTAAATTATCTGTATTCGTATCTGTACCTGAAATGGGCGGGGCTTCAATTGGACGTAGGTGGTGCTTAAACCGGAAGAGGGTGAGACTAACCGGAGTTAATTTAAGCCTGAAATTAAAATGGGTTGATCAGAAGTTGCTATATTTATTAGAAAACTATTTAGAGCCTCAGAATCAAGCTTCAGAGCAATCACAGGAGTACAGAACTAATTTTACTTATATACTTGTACTTGAATAGTACATTATTTGTACCGGATACTAGTTTCAGTTTAATTCTCGCTCAACCCTAGTCTAAATGTAACCAAACTGCGGCTGTTTCACAATGTTAACAATGCAATTATTATAGTTACAATAGCAATGGTGACCTGACTTCAACCTATTTCTTAACGTCCAAAACTCATAAAATGTGCTATCCCTACAGTGGTAAGTGACAGGCAAAAAGCCCCACTGAAGTTAATAGGAAAGATGACATAACACCTGCAGCCAAAACTGGACTTTTGCATATGCACAGATTTAAAGTAGTGTTATTTGTATGCAAATTGAAGAGAGGTTGGGATACTACACATAGAGAGTAAACTATGATTTCAGTGATGATGATGGCCACTGATGACCTCTAATGATGCACTCTTTGCCTTGCCTTTTTGCTTCAATTAATTTCTAATTATTTATATTTTGGGATAATATCCTTTTTAGTTGGGAACTCTGTCACAAGTATTTTCACCTGTGACTAAACATTATTATCCCTTGAGTCAGGGGAAGCTGCAGTTGAGCCCAGCATTAATTTGGATGATATAAACAAGAAAGTGTTATATATTTATATTTCATAGAGTTTACTTGAGTAATGTTATGTTGGCCAGTGTGCTGGGACAAAGTAAAATGTGGGAAAATCAATAATTTGTTTTGTAACAAGAGCTTTGTTTAAATAGTCAGCAGAGAGACAAGAATCACTGGAGACATTTTTCAGTTTTTCCACAATTTGGAAGACTTTTGTTTAAAGAAATAAAGAGAATGGGGAGAGACAAACTAGACAGAGAGGAAACAGAGGTGGAGATAGCAGGAGTATGGAGGAGCAGAGAGAGGGAGCAGCAGTGGAAGGAAAGCCGGCTGCTGTAGCTGCTGTTTCATTAACTGCCAGTCGACAGCACATACATCAAGCTCCAACAATGCTTAGGAAGCGCAACCGTAACCTGCAGTGATCCACCCGCAAGACGAGCTGCCAGTGATGGATTGTGTGACATGAACTGAGAGCACACACGCTCTCTCTCTCTCACTTGCTCACACACTCCCAAGCTCAAGCATTTCTCCCAAACTTAATTTTATTGCATTTGATGACATCTGAACAAAATCAAAAATACCTCTGATTAAAAATATTTCATTTGCTGTTATAAAATAGATATTTACTACTTGACTTATTGTGCAGATTTTACTGAATTGAGTACATATTGTCATGTAACCTACAGTGCAATTAAGCGCTAAGACCATAGTTCTCATTTACACTTAAATATTCTGACAAATAGCTTGCAGCAAGAAACTGATAACATTCTGAGAAAGATTTATTTGCACAATGAGAATACATCGAAAAATGTTCAGATAAACTCAGATTGCCACATTTGGAACTGCTTTATTCAGTGTTTTTAGCAGTTTAACCAGCGGGTCTGTTTGTATTAGACACAAGGAGATCTCAGTGGATAATTTGTCTTTTGTTATTGTTTTGCTGTGAGAGACTCCCTATTGGCAGAAATTACATATTGTATGTTTCAAAACTTATATTCTCTAACATGTTAAATAATTGAGCATATACATTGTCAGTCAAGCTGATGTTGCTGAGAGCTTATTTTTCTCTTTATGTGCGCCACAGTATTGTAAATCTCAGCTGGATAAACTTTGCAATGACACCAATTTATAACCACAAGCATTTTTTTCTGCATTATATACTGAAACCAGCTCTCATGTCTCATATGGACCTTTTATGGTATTATTGTGTGACTTTTTTGTTTTAAAGGGTTAATTCCAATCTGAACTAACATATGCAGTACATACGCCAACGGCCAATTTTGTGTGCAAGTTATACGCCAATCCTTCTCATTAACTGGGGGGCGATGTAGTATAAAGAGTGACAAAATCCACATACGGATGAGGTTGGGGTGGATGGATGGGTCATATAGGGCTTTTGCATTGGCACTTTTGGCTGCCCAGAGTCAAACCATGCCACCTTGATCTGCTTTTCTATTACCAGCTGAGATGAACCATCTCCGGAATAGAGCCAAAGTGTGCCCAACCAACACCAAGAGGGTTGTTGTGACGTCTGGCCGACCACAGCCAACCCATGAAGAGACACCCCTTAAAGCGGGTAGCCCTGTTGTAATGGAGAATGAAATCCCTTCTGCGCTCAGTCAAACCGATTCAAGAAAAGCCAGACCGTATGTATGGAAAAAGGCTAAAACTTACTTACAAACAAACAGACTTTCACCCAGGAGATTTTTCTGCATTATACACTGAAAAACGGCTCTCATATCTGTGTATATCAGATAACATATATAAAGATACAGACTCATCGGTAGGGCTCTAGTTCAGAGGGTTTGCTGAATCTGACTGATCCACAGATTTAGATAAGAACATGTTCTTGCATGATATACATATGTATGGTACCTTTATGTAACAGGATGTACAGTATAACGTACTTTAGTCATTTTTCTATTCGATTATTTGAATTAACTGGATTTGAATTTGTTTCAGCACAGGAGAATCTCAAACTTTCTCACATCTTTCTCACTGTAAAGTTTTCTTTACCATCCCGGTGTGGTGTTGTGTGGAGGAGCCTGTATATTTCATGCATATGATCTTTCCACACCCTGCCTAAGAAGCAGGGTGTGTGGACAGCAAGAGCTCAGTCTGCATAGTAATTGGTTGGGTAGGCGGCCGTAATGTTTTAATGCATAAATATATCAGGCATTGAAATTACAATTTAATGGTCTGTGGAATTAGAGAAGGAAGCTCTTGTTCTCTGCACTCACTCTCACTTTTTTACTCACCCACCACCCTTCCCCTTTCTCTGCTGGCTGTCGCCTGCTTGTATCCACTCCCAGTTCTCTGTCCTTTTCTGTTTGCTCTTTTTCATAATGCACAAGGTTCATGTTGTCTTTAAAATTTCTGTAGGTTCGTTGTTGTTGCAGTGTTTTAAAGATACATTGTGGCATGATTTTGTGCAATACATAATGGGGTTTCAAGATGGATCAGAATATCAGGTGAATCTTATCAGTTGGCAGCCAAACAGGGTAGTGAGGCAGGAGCACAGCTTTTTTGAAAGTCATGCCATAAGTGTTCTCTCTGTCAGAGATAACCAGTGAGCTACCTTCAGATACAGGGTGAAGTGACTTTTTGGCTCGTTTTCACTGCTGATCCACAGATTCTTGGTTCATTCTTGAGTTTTTAGCCTTGCAGAGCGGCCCTAGGAAGATTGGTCAGTTTGTCAGTCCGTGCTGAAATACCATACTGACCAGGGCATAAGATGACTCTGAATATGAGGTGACCTCTTTTACAAGATTTTATCAGACGACTCCTGTTAAGCAAGTTTTCCCGAAATACTGTTAGTCCACTAATGAGAGAATCGTTATTCTTGAAGCCTTTTCCCGTGAAAGTGACGGTCCAAAGTCCTGCCTCCCTTAGTTGCTATTCCTAGGTAAATTTCTGTTTGTGTTCCAGAAACAGAAATTCCAACATTCCAGAGTCTAGCACAGTTTTATGGTCTGTTTACACCAAAGGCGAAGTTCATTTCCGCCTCGCACAAGTTTACTCACAGGATAATTTGTGTTAACTCGTGCAGGTAAATATTCGCCCTTCAATCTGGCTTACTACACCGGTATGAGCCCAAAATAAACTAAATTTGCTGTGATTTAATTGAAAAAACTGATCAAAATGTTGCTGAAACAACTACATCATGATGCTGATTTGTAAAACATCTGATGTCATACTTTGTCGGGTCTGTATGCAAGACGACAAGCAAACAACTTTTAAAATGTTTGTTTTCTAAAAGGAGTTCGGATCAATCAGGGCTATGCTAAAGTTCACAGTAAAGTAAACCCAATAGCTGGACTCAAGTAACAGACACACATTTTCAGCACTTACCAGGTAGTCCAACATCTTCTCTCTTCTCTCTTTTCTGAGCAATCTCCTTTTCTGTCTGGACTCGTCATGCAGCTGTCTGTGGGCCAGCAGCAGCTCTGTCTCTTCGCTCCTCCACACAACACTGCAAAAGCCATGCCATACTCACATTTTTTTGCTCAAAGTTGAATAGTTTCAACTCATGCAAATTCACCAATTTTATGTATTTGCCCCATTTGCGTCTCCTGGTGCAAATTTGTGTCTATTTATCTTCTTGCATTGACTTTGCAACTTTTTCTCATGGCTGTGAGAAAACACTGACTGTGATAAAACTGCTGCTAGTATCAACCCTGGTGTTAATGCCCTCATGCACACATAACCTCATACTGTACACATGCAAGCCCACACAAAAACTCACTTTCCCAGACTTTAGCATTATTTTTAACACACACACACAGTTTTCAGACCAATTTCTGTCTCCCTACCTGTCATGTTCTGACTGTACACCATGGATTGTTTGACGAATTTCCCTCTCTTCACCATATTCATATTTCTCCCACTCATGTACAACTAATTGCTTGTTGTAAACTGTCACTCAAGCTGATGAGAGATGTGAATGTGTGCCAGAACTTATGCGTGTGTGAGTGCTGTATGGAAACGGTTTGTGTAGCTGAAGTATAGCTGGTGTTACTGTTACTTATGTGATTGTGACATTGTATGTGTGTATCCTCATTGATCAAGGTGTCACTCTCCCTCATGTTTAACATGACAACCACTGGGAACCAATCACAACAGAGCTGCTACTGAACCTTAGTGTACTGATTTGTGAAGACACTTCAGGCATGTTTCTGTTCTCACAGGCCCTGCTCATTGTCACCCTGTGTACCTATCCGATCTACAAATCTGAGCTCACAGGAATCTTGGATTTATTAGAACAGAAAGAAATTATTTTTAGCAATTGAGGGCCCTGTTTCAATTTAGCAAGGATGTCTCCAAGCTGCTATTTTGGTTTCATGTATGTGCAGTTGCGTAAAGCGTTAAAGGGCTGAGTGAAGTGGAATATAGATCAGAAGATATGGTGATTAATAGGAAATATTAATAAGCACTTGGCGACGGTGGCAAGGAAAAAGTTCCTTGTAAGAGGCAGAAACCTCGGACAGACCCAGGCTCTAGGTGGGTGGTCGTCTGCCTCGACCAGTTGGGGAGAGAGACAGAGAGAGAGAGAGAGACAAAGAGACAGAGACACACAGAGAGAACAATCAGTGCTTCTACTTTTACTGAAGTCTTTTTTACACAAGAATCTGTACTTCTATAAATACTTAACCACTTGACTGCTTGAATGTCTATTTGCCCTAAATAGCCAATGTACCAAATGTAGGCTAGCTTTAAGCTAGGTAGCTGGTGAGGTACTCCTAAATGCCTGCGTAACTGCGTCTATGAATAAAAACATAGCTAGCTTAACGCTAAGAAAACAGCCCTGAAAATGTCCTTGTTAAAGTGGATGAAAAACGGCAATAGAATTATGGTCAGGGTTGTTCTGATGTTTGTTCTTTTTTGGGCACTGATCCGGGGAAAAAGTAAACGACAAATATACTCACAGGAATTTTAAAATATGGTGGACTACTTTTATTTGTTACTAAATTATTTTTATGCTGTCATGATCACTCTTTTCCCTGCTACAGTTATGTGCTTTTTTCATTCTATGAAGAAGATTAGCAGCAATGTCTAACAAGTTTGAGTGTGGTTTTCTTACATACTGTATTATATAAATGTGAATCTTTTACCTGGTCTATTTGTAGAACATCCACAGGCCCAGCAAACAACCACACACTGTGATGTGCTTTTTAATTTTTCTTTGAATTATTCGTAACATAGTTACAGCACAACCCACTGGGTAAATGAGACTCGATGTGCACTGAACAATACCAGAGTCACCATGAACAATGGGGCAGATTAGGAGGACTTTCCCTTGGGGAGTTGGTTCTGGCATCAGCGGGTTGAAATGATTGCACAGGCATCCCCTCCATTTGTTTTTAATTTCCATTTTCATTATTTCCCTTGCTTCTTTTTGAGGAAATAATGAGTCACATTACTTAAAGGGGAAAATGTAGAGTCTGAAGCCATTTCACATGAAGCTGAGAGACAAACTGTGGTGATGATGTCATCTGGGGACAGATCCTGGAGCTGCTTCGCAGACCGTGAATAATAGAAGGGCTCCTTGGACTCTGTGACAGCAGCCACGGTGATCTGAGAGGGATAAGGGGACTTGATGCCGCTTTCCAGCTTAGGAAAGCCGTTTTCTGTGGTTGTAGATATTGATTTCACTGCCCCAAATCGTTGTTATACCGCAAACTCTGCTTTAAGGAGGATCTTCCTTTTTAGTAAACTCATAACTACACTGACACATAGATTCACAAAGGATTCGCTGCACTTTTTTAGACAATGACACAGATGCTGCTTGTCCCTATTTACTGTGGGGACACACCAAAGTGTTGAGTGTTCCAGTAGGACTGCAAAAAATGGGACAAGAGTGAGGTGCTCTATTACTTTCCAGATATTCAGAGGATGTACAGCCCAGCATCAGGAAAACTACAGTTTGTGACATTGTGGATTTTATTGTTGTTAAAGCTGGTTAGAGTTATGGCCAAGATCTCTGTTTGGCCAATTGTTGTTTTTTCTACATTTTAATTCAACATTCTTTGTAATGGCCAGCAGGGGGCAGCACAATTAATTACGTTTGTATTCAACATTATGGAGAAATGAGCTGACTTCTGACTTGATTTATGAGCTCAGTAAACAGTTTCCTAATAAGTTTATGGTCTCAATCTCTAGTTTCAGTCTTCTTCCATACAGCATGGTGCTCTTTTAGTAAATGATGGTCACATTTAGAGTAAAATAGATGATAGATAAAGCAGGGTATGACTACCTTGTGATTGACAAGTCATTCTCAGTGAGTCTGTCCAGCTTAATTATTGCCTTTAATTGATAGTGACAGCTGAAGAATGACAGGACCACTACAGCATTACTCAGACCTGGTACATGGGGCAGCCTTTCCATTCCAGTGTCTGTTGAATTTCAACACAAGCACACCTTATTCTACTTAATGAGGTACTGATTTGGTAATTATCTGAACCAAATCTTATTCGACAAGGAAAAGTATAAAAACCACTGCTGTGGTCATCACTATCCTCTTGCAATAGGACCAGCTGATTGGCAAAAACAGTGCTAGTAGTACTTCAAAAGTTATTGGATTAAAAATAACTATTGACCATGCCAAAAGAGTTGAAAAGAAAAGTTTTGAGTGAGGAAAAGAAGGGTTCAGTTCTGGCATTACTGGCAGAGGAATACAGTAAACGTCAGGTTGCTTCCATCCTTAACATTTCAAAGGCGGCGGTTCATAAGAACAAGGTCAGGCAGCAGACATTGGGGACAACAAAGTTACAGACTGGCAGAGGGCAAAAATCAAGTGACCTTCAAAAGAATGGCAAATGGCAGCTGGGGTGAAGTGCACGGCAAAAACGGTTCGAAACAGGTTCTTAAAGGAAAGGCTGAAGTCATGCAAAGAAAAAAGATGAGATAATGATAATCAATGAGAAGCAAAGAAGAGCCAGGCTGAGGTTTGCAAAAGACCATAAGGATTGGACCGTAGAGGACTGGAGTAAGGTCATCTTCTTTGATGAGTCCAATTTTCAGCTTTGCCCAACACCTGGTCATCTAATGGTTAGACAGAGACTTGGAGAGGCCTACAAGCCACAGTGTCTCACACTGTGAAATTTTGTGGGGGATCGGTGATGATCTTGGGGTGCTTTAGCAAGGCTGGAATTTGATTTGTTGTTGTACAAGGTTATACTGGAAGAAAACTTGCTTCGTTCTGCTCTGACAATGTTCCCCAACTCCAGCAAGACAATGCTCCATGCCACACAGCCAGGTCAATCAAGGTGTGGATGAAGGACCACCAGATCAGACCGTGTCAAGGCCAGCTCAATCTCCAGACCTGCACCACATTGAAAACCTCTGGAATGTGATCAAGAGAAAGATGGATGGTCACAAGGCATCAAACAAGGCTGAGCTGCTTGAATTTTTGCGCTAGGAGTGGCATAAAGTCACTGAACAACAATGTGAAAGTACTGATTTCTGAACTCTTCCTAAGTTAAAATATTAGTATTGTTTTGTTTACAAATGATTATGAACTTGATTTCTTGGCATTATTTGAGGTCTGAAAACCCTGCATCTTTTTTGTTATTTTGACCAGTTGTCATTTTCTGCAAATAAATGCTCTAAATGACAATATTATTAGTTATTATATTATAATATTATTATATTTATTATTATAAATTATTTGGAATTTGTGAGAAATGTTGTCCGTTGTTTATAGAATAAAACAACAAAAAAATAATTTTATTCAAGCACATATCTATAAATAGTTAAACCAGAGAAACAGATAATGTTGCAGTCGTCTCTTTAATTTTTCCAGAGCTGTAGTTGCAGTTGCCTACAGTATAAAGACCAAAAGCATTTTTTGTACCAGGCTATAAACATGTTTTTTTCTGCTATAAAATTGGGCATTTCAATAAGGGGCCTCACTTCTGGAACCAGCCTCAAGTGGCCGTTAGAAGAATTGCAGTTTTTGGCACTTCTGCATTGGCTTCAGTTTACAGCCCTGGAGGTTGCTGTATTGTCCTGACTCTGAGTCTGTTCTTAACACAGCTCATGCTGATATTGATCTTCTCATCTCATTACGGAAAGACAGAATCAGCATATTTCCCAAAATATTGACTTACTCCTTTAAAGACAGAAAATATGTTAATTACATGTGTCTAAGACAATACATTTGTCCTGTTATTGTTAAGAAGATTAGGCAACATTGTCATATAAATCACAATAGTTGGTCATTTATCCAGGGTCATAAAACAAAAGTCACTCTGTTAAACTGTGAAGGGTGGAAGGTGTTATTTTCCAAGAAGCGGTCAGCATTAAACCAATTTAGCACAAGTGCTCGGTAAATCACGATACAAAATACAGACTAGAAGTTAACCTCTGAGTCGTGGAAAATAAGTCCCTGTCAGCACAGATGGCCTGCCTATCTCTCTCTCTGTCTGTCTCTCTCTCTTTCATTATTTCT